TGCCAAAGGGTAGTCTGATTCCGTTAATACGATCAGCACATCCGCTTGGCTGGAAATGATGTGGCGCCTAGGCCACAGGCGCCACCACCACATGCCTTTTTGGCCCCGGCGCCTGTGGCGCGAGTGCCAGGCAATTTCAGACTGAAGATCATCGTGTTCAGGAGGAAACTACTGCGGTCAAATTTTCAGTCAAACCGCGCTCGAAGAAGAAAGCAGGTAAAAACCGGCCTAATTTCGGAAGATTGGGGCAGTACAGGAGGGTAAATAGTGCCAAGCAATCTGTATTGAAATCGATCTGTAATCTACATGGGACGCAAAAAGGATAGAACTCTTGCTATTGCTCGACCCTTTGGATGCGACATGCATTCCACTTCCCCCAGAATTGCAGCAGTTGCCTGAATGCAATATGGCATGGGCTAACTGAGGCATAATTTGGTGCTTTTGCCCTCACAGACGTCCATCACATCAATTTAGCAGCCCCAAAATGATGGAAGGCTCGATTAGCACAGGAGGAAGCCGAGGCACCATAGTAAATCTAACTACTTGTCATCCAACTCCTTCCCCTCCGCGACAGAAACCTAAGCGCATGCAGAGCAATAAGCAGCCTTATTATTAGGGTGTCAGAACCGGGTTTAGGTAAAAGAAGAGTTAAAGCGACAAAAATCTAGCAATACCTGACTGTATAGCGCTTTTCTTCAAAGCTCCTTGTAGCTGAGACATTGCTGCAGCCAGCGATGAGAACTTGTCAAGCATGTCTGGCCTAAAAATGCACTTGAGCGCTGTTTGCCTGACAAAAACACAACAAGAAAGAATTTATGGGATGCTATGCGACCAATTTCCGAGAGGCTGCTATCTCAAGTGCAACAAATCAATTTGAAAGGGGGAGCCGCACAACTGGAACTCGAGTCTATGAAAAAGGCCCACGGGATACTCGATCTGGACAAAATGAGTCTTATGAATATTATGGAGCAGTAGTCCTTGCGAAAGCATCGATCCCATTATGAAGCCCTCACCTCCTCTTAGTTCTTTTACATTTTCGAACCCAGTTTCCACTCAAAGGTATAAGCCTCAGTGAGGTAACCGACAAGGCACAGTGCGTGCAGCGGAAGCGGGTACTGAACGGCGCGTCAAGTGCCTGTAGGCGTTACGGCGCAACAATGTCCTAGGTCTTCCTTACATGGCTTTTTTGCACAACGGTTCGTTAAACATAGCACGCGCCACATGTAAGATAACTTAAGGTGAGATCGAGGCAACTTAAGGGGAGGGGGTCTTTCATGAATCGTGAAGTCTATGGAATTTCTTCGAGGTATTTTTTGCTGTTTCTGCGATCAGCACAGTCGAGGACCGGCAAAAAGGAGGGGCATGCTTCTCGCGCGACATGCTCGATCCACGAAAATAGGGCGGAAATATACTGTAGTTTCTGCGGACGGTTGGGCGTGTCAGTGCGGCTGCGTTTGGCGCGGTGCCAAACTCGTTCTCCACCAGTTGTTAAGCGAGCAAGTGACAAGGATGTATCATATCGTTCGTATTACTCGTTTTCTACCACTTTTTGTCGCATGCGCGCTTCAACAAAAGGCAGAGAACGGCTTTGTTGCTGTGCACACTCATTCTGGCTGACACGCCCCACCGTCCGCAGCGAACTACAGTGTACATGGGAGGCATGGGGCGGGGTGGAGTATTCAGAACCTCATTGATTTACTACATTGCCCTCACCAAGCACGACTCCCAGTGAACCCCTGTATTACAGTAGTGACATATTTTTTTGCTTCAACTCTACATGAGGTTATCAATTAAAACGAATAGCTCGCTTTCTAGAGCATGTCCCCTCTTGAACAGAAATTCGAGCCACGATTTATCCAACCAAACGTCAACTAACCCTACGCGATCTCCTAGACTAACTAGTCTATCACGCAGCCGTGACGAATCGTTTGGTCCTCAAATCTCGTAATATTTGGGTGGTCTACTAGAAGTCCTTGTAAGGTTTTGGCGTATAGACGGATTAATCATGCCTCCAACCCCACCCCTAAGGCTTCTTAAAGTGTGACTGCACCGACGTGTCGTTTAGTTTGAATTCCATCCGTCTATGGAGCTTCAACAAATAAATCTATCACTGCACCGATATTCATCAGAAGTCGCACACGGCTTTGATGCGGTAGAAAGTTCATAATTCACTGACACCAACTCAGTCGAAAGCGAATTTCCCATTCCATTCCTGGAAGCCCAGAAGCGCGCGGGAAAAAGACTCTACTTTCGTGGTCCCTGTACGAGCCCCTAGGAAAACCGAAAAAAGAAACTTTGAAAAGCGCTCCACCTTCGGAAAGATCCCCTCCCAACTCTTTCATGAATCACCTTCGTCTTACAACGACAGCATCCTTTACACTACAAACTAGTACTGGTTGAACGAAAACATGTTGGAAAGTCTAGACGGTAATTGAACGAATGAAAAGCAAACTACCCTCCTACCAACCTGACCAATTTTTTACCCAAGACAGGTCAGTGTAAAGTAATAACGGCTGACGCCAATATGAAGGGAAAAACAAAACTGATGCAGTGCGGCCAGTTAGGAGTGGCGAGTGGAGAAAATTCTAAATCCCAGAGAAATTACTCGAAGCGTTTTTGAAAAATCACTTCTTGTTCGAAAATTGAATTGATGTCCTCGCATCGCCTCCGCCCTAAAACTCCGCAAAACTCCTCATCTCCTTGCTTCACAATGGTTTTTTCGACCTTGTATGCATGAATACGAGGACCGTCTAAACATAAGAGAGACCACGAAACAGAACACTAAAAGGGAGCTTCGCACACTTTTGCAGCTTCTTTCAAAGGTATTGTCTACAGGGCGCGTGTTGACTGAAGTTGACTCAATGTCCGCTAAATCTAAACTTCGCGAAGATCTCCAGTCCATTCGAATTAGGTGCCAAATAAAAGGAAATCATAGATCGCTCGAAAAAGAAATGAGGAAAAGAAACTAATTAGGGATAAAAAAACGAAAAAAAAACGGTGGAACGTGCTATATCATCGTATTCTCAATGCATCACTACGTCGGGACTATCCTTGTATTAAACACGCAGAGAAAAGCACAAACTAGATAAGGGGTCAAAGTGATTGCCAATCTCAAAGACATCATCCGGAGACAGAAAACACTAAATTGAAGACAGGTCTGCCGAATACATGGGCAGGAACGTTGTCTTCAGTATGCCATCTCTTCGCTCAAATCATCTTCAACGCACAAAAAAGCGAGAGGAGACGTTGAGGAAAAAGAGCCAATGAGGAGCGTCTTCTGGTTCAGCAAGGGAAATGAGGTTGTTTTTCACAACTTTTCTCAACCTTGACCAAGTTAAACCACAAAAAAATACGATCAATTTCAGTTCGGTTTCTTCTGTTGTGTCGGAGCCTCAGTACAATCAGACATTGCACAATGAAGGAGATCTTCAGGAAACATACTGCACTGCTAAAGAGGACCAGGAATAAATCTGCACTGCTCAAAAGACCGCATTTTTTTGAAAACACACTTAGGAGCATGTTTTGAAGGACTAAGGTGGCATAGCGGCGATTGATGGCACTTACTAAGAGTACTGTTGGACGGTCAAATCCTGGGTGGGTGTGAACCAGGCTGAAAAATTCTTAAGAAGGTAAAAAATAAGGTGGTTTAGGTGGGCCACGTCGCATCTTGGGTATTCAAGTCGAGGCTATTTTGTGCTTCCACCCCTCTAGGGTCGTACAACCGATACCGCAGTTGTCCGGGGAGGACAAAAACACTGACCTGGACATCGACCTGTACAAAGCCACAAAGCCATTGTATGAGTCGAACCAAGTTCAAAAAGGCACAGAGTAAAATGCGTGGAGCTCCCAAAATGTCGGCTGATTGAAGCCGAGAGCCTTTTTTATGCCTTTTTATGCTTTTTCGAGTCTTTCTGAATAAATGGCACCTCTCAGTGCTGCACAACATTTACACCGTGTTTACGCTCAGGTAGTCTTCTGAGTAAACGCAGATAAAAATGCCATGACGTTCACCCACGTGAGCGCTATTTTGTGTCCTGCTGTTCGAGACTTTTTCCAGGTTTGCTGCAATGAGAGGGAGTGAATGGCACTTCATTTAGATACTATTGCAATTGGCGAGGGGGGAGGGGGAGGGAGGTCATGCAAAATCTCGTAGGTGAGATTCTACGTTACCTCCCTCTACTTCTTCTATGGCCGAACCAGGGACGGTGAGACATCACCATCTCGGCGGGAAGGCGTAGACACATGCAGAACTAGTCGCGCCTTCGCAGCTCCCTAACTGCATCAGGAATCGTGCTGGCGTTGGCGTTCGCAAGATGAGACCCCCTGCAGCTTTTACTTCAATAAGACCCCCTTTACACAACCGACTAGCAGTCTTACCAGACTGCCAGAATTCTGCGGTTGAACTTAGATATCTCGACTAGCACGGGATGCATAATGCGCACGTGAAACTGGGAACACCTTCTACTACAAAGTTTTTATACAAGCCAAATAAGACCACCCCTCTCCTCCAGCTACCAGATACTCCTCCTTCCGTTGAGGATTCCTACGTACGACGTGATCAGACCTGCAACAAGGACAAGAAGCCTTACCATGGAACTTTCTCCTGCATGTCGAGCATATACAGCAGTTCTTCTATTGTCTTTTTAGCGTCCATTACTTTGACCTCCAGGTAAGAGATTGCAGAACTCATCTGAACCAGAAAAAGTATTCGTTCAGTAAAATGCAGAGATACGGTAAAGTACCTTATCCGGATCGCTCTGGTAGTTCGACGCTTGAGGCATCGGGAATGCTGGTGGGATATTCATCTGTAGCAAAAAAAAGAGATTCTATTCTACGTTCAAACTTTGCGGCTACGTTCATACTCTGCGCTCTTAGAGAATGGGGGAATCGCAATGCTGGGAAAATCAGCTGGTTGAGCCTGCCTACGCAACAGCTCTCGTCTGTTGTCCGCTGCCCCACTAGCAAGGTTAGAGCTTCAGAGGGCAGGACGAACAGGCCACATAATGACTGTCTGTCTGCGGCAAAGCAGCGCCGGGCAGCTTGAACTGAGCCGACCGTTTGCGCTCTGGGCATAAGCTTTCGGCTGCCTATCCCCCGGCTCACAACTAACAGTCAGATGCATACACAGTGATCTGGGGAATCGAAAAACTCGCGACAAAGACCAGACTGATATCGATTGATCCCGCCAAGGAGATGATAATAGCCCAATCAATTTTCGATACCTTTGGCACGTTCTCCGATTCGCCAGTGGCGCAGAGCATACCACATATCACATATGTGGGGAGGGCGTGGCTGCCTGCTTCATTTGGACACTGCGTAATATGTATATTTCATGGGATATTCCCATTTGAAACAACGACCATTCTACATATGTTGGACACGTGACTGCAACTGCCCCAAAATGAAAAGATTCCAGTAGGAGCACAGCCGCTGCCAGGTTAAAGTCGCAGCCACGCCCACTCCATCCCCGGGATATGGAGGAATAAGGCCTGTTGTAATCTTACGAAATCGAAGGCAATGGATCGGAATCAATATACTACCGCTATCGGGAAGAAAAGTACAAACAACATATGAAAAAACATTTATTTCAGATATAAGTGACATTGGATGCCAATGTAGTTGGCAAGGGGGACAGGGTGGGGGGGGAGGAGCTCCAAGGCGTTTGGTCACACCCCACTCGGTCCTTCTACCAGTGACTTTGGCGACAACCGCCCGCCCCTTTGCGATCGTGCTCACTGCCTTTAAGGCTGAACCTGAGGAAAGGAGGGAATTACTGATTCACGCCGCGCGGAACTCCCCTCCACTTCCCAACTGCAATCGCGTGTAAAATCGATTTGAACAGCACCTAGTCAGAAAAAATTATCGGCAAAATACAGAGGTAACGGTTAAATACCAGTTGAGATGCAGCATTACATTGAACAATACCCGTTTCAAGAAAACGATCAAAGATGAGAAGGACAACGAGATAGAAAGTTTCTTAAGAACAGAGAGCGGAACTCCTGAAATGAGATAACAGACAGAAAGACTCTCAAGAACGAAATAGAAACTTTGGAACGGCAAAAACTTCAATCATTTCTTCGACCACAGACTATTCTGCAATTTCTCTCGCTGTTTCATTCGTTTTTCTTCTTCTTGCCTAATGAATTCCTCTTGATCGAATGACAGTGGAATGAGATTTGTGTATTGGGCAGCATTAACGTTCAGCGCTGCAGCCGCTGCCTGCAATACACATCTACAATAACAATCTGGCGTCATTCCTGAATAAATAAGAATTTGGGATACGGTAATGATGTCAAGACAGTAAACGCCTTTATTCTGATATGGCGGATATAAAATGGCGCATTTTATCTTATTGTTTTTTATATGGCGTGATATCGTACACAACCGCCAAATGCTACACGTAGTCAGAGCCTCTTATCTGGAAAAGCTCGGCTTACAGAGACGTTCATTCAAAGACAGACCTCGCAGTAAACCAGTTCGTAGGATTCCCTTGTCCAAATAGTGGCCAAATAGAGGTCGCGTCTACGATATACTGTTCATGAGACTGCGCTCATACTTTGCTTCAGCGTTTCAAGCGTACGGCAGCGCTGTGAGCGACAAGGAAAGTATAGATATCGGTCTTTTCTGCGATGGCCAGCGAAAAGCACTTAGTCAGCGTTCAGACTTGTCGCGCTTGGACACGCGTTGCTGCCTTGAACACGCTACAATTACAAGCGCGCTCCTACTGCACCAGACCCCAGCTTCCCTTTATGTTCTTTCTTCCGGTATTCAATCCTTTTTCACTGTTTCTCATTTCTACCTGATTCTTAGCTCCTCTTTTTCACTTCGACATGATTTTAATGTAGTTTTGACGAGAGGACACTGTTGAGAGCGATTTCGTATACCGTGTCGAAAAAAAAACCGTTGTTGAAAATACGTCAAAACTCATCGAAAAACGTCAAAAAACGTCGAAAAGTACATTTAAAATTCCAATGGTCAAAGTATAAAAGAGGAGCTAAGAATCAGGTAGAAATGAGAAACAGTGAAAAAGGGGTTGAATACCGGAAGAAAGACATAAAGGGAAGCTGGGGTCTGGTACAATTGGAGCGCGCTTGTAATTGTAGCGTGTTCAAGCGCGACAATCAACGCGCGTTCAAGCGCGACAAGTCTGAACGCGCAGCGTTCAGACTTCGCGACAGCAGCGCTTCGGTCACGCGTTCGACACGATCGATGCGCATGCTTTCGACTGCATCGATCGCGTCCAACGCGCGACCGAAGCGCTGCCGTCGCGAAGTCTGAACGCTGCTAACGCTCCTTACCGCCGAAAAACACTCAAAAACGCTGGATCGCATACCAATATTTTATTCGGTCACTCGAACGCTGCCGTGACGATCAAAGACGCTACATAAAGTACGAAGCGTACTCCAACTCAACTGCGATGCGTCACACTGCCTCGTCACTTATTGTGGAGCTACGAAGCCGATACTACCATCTTTGCCGACTACCCACCGGGTTACTTGAGCAAGGAAGGAATCTCCGAGCACGAGGTCTGTCTCTGAATCCTATCAACATGCAGATCAATTTTGTGAGGATCTGTGAACATTTGTAGACCTTTCGGCTCATGAAACCGAAAATCGGCGAGACTTCCACTAGTTCCTTTTTCTAGTTCATGTCAACAAAAATTTCCACTTTGGTGAGACTTGTAAACGTTTGTGAAGCTGGTGAATAGTTGAAATGAGGCATTTATGTTACAAGAATTGACAGACTTTCGAAAGGTGGCCTGTACATGTTTCACTCATTTCTTGCCCACACCGAGCCGAACTGCCCCAGAAATCTATTCAGCAACTCATGACTGGACAGTAAAGTATGATACACATTAGAACCACACTGTACGGTTACCGTATAAATGAATTCATTCCACGTGCGAGACGGGCAGATCTGCAGCAGTAGAGGTGTAGGACTCCTATCCTTCGAAAATGCGCGGCAATTTAGCCAGATGCTTGTATCAATTAGACGTTCCTTATGTCTCCAATCCTTCGGTACGCGATATGCACACCACAATCACGCCATGCGCCATAAGGCCAGCAGCACCCTAGACCATAACCACAGAGTCCAAACGGCATGGCTCCGGCTTGCGTAGTGGGACACGCCACAGCCGCTGTCTTGCCACATGGCGTGTTTATGGTTTCCTCGTCGCGTATCCAATGAAGGGCGGAGATATGAGGAACACCAATCTACCGCAAATCTAGCTTCATTACCGCGCATTCACGAAGAACGAAAGTTAAACACCTCTATGTCTTCTAGCCTGCCCGCCTCCCCAAGGAAGGAGTCATCTCCATGGCAATAGCAAAGTGAGTCTCCAAAGTTCGAGCTTTCCTGTGACCGATTTTCCTCGTGTAAAAGTCCGAAATAAATAGAAACAAACCTGCTTAAGCGCTTCTTTCTCTATGAGATCCTGATTTTCTCGTATAAGCTGATCAACCAGAGCTTCCGTAGCCGGTGGACTTGTCACTCTCTCGGCAAAATCTCCTCTTTGGAAGTCGGATCCTGAGAATAAAAGTTTGCAAAAGACCTCTATGAACATTTTCGATGGGTGTCCACGCCGTTCATGAGTTATCTATGATCTGTGTGAAGAACTTTCAGTCCGATGAAAGTGTGCTAAACAACGGGAAAAAATCCTTCACAAACCGATCAGAGGGACGACCTCCTCCCTTTTCTTGGGGGTATAAAACTCAACTTTCCGAGCATCCTTTCCCATTGATGCGGTTCTCTCTCAACAAATCATCAAGCCAGATACCATCCCTCTCTCCGGGCACTCAATTACGCCTTCCTGATAAGGATTTCTCAAAAGTGGTGCCCTGGCAGTGAGCAGAGCCCTTGACTAGGCTCTGAAGATAACGCAACAACTTCCGAGGCAGGAGCAAGCATGGCAGAGAAGCTTATGCCAAGCATGAGATACTGATTACTCTAAATATTTACGGGGATCGGTGATGCGATGAGGCTGATGCCCATTTAAACCCCACTAAAACCAA